CAAGCAGAGCAGTTTCAGCCCGGGGACTCAGGGCAATACCAACACCGGCTTGGCCGGTGCTCGAAGCTGCATCGTCACCGGATAGGCGCAATGAGAAAGTGCTGCTGGTGTCACCTGAAGGGGATCGCAGATTGAGCACAGAGCTCGAGTCTTGCAGGCGAGTCTCCGATAAGCAGCAGATATCGATCGAGAGGGTCTCCAATGTTCGGGCAAGTGCTGCCTGTTGACCGATCTGAAGCAATGTGCGAACATTGAGGCATGCCAGTCTGAAGGAGGATCGAGGGCTCCAAATGGAAGCCGATGAACTGGAATGGGCCGCTTGCTTGGACATGGGCCTGTTGACAGTGCAGGAATGACGCTCTGCGTTCACCTGTGAGTTGAAACTAAAAGACAAGCGACTATTGAAGCAAGGTGGGGGAGGGACGAGAATTGGGGGGTTGAAAACAGGGGGGGATAAAAGTAAAGCTGGAACGGGACGATAAGGGTGAAAAAGCGCAAGGAGGGGAATAAGAAGATGGGAAGGCCTGAGCAGTAGCATCCAAACCCCTATCCACCCTGCTCGATGCAGCAGATAGGGCACCGTTGATTATCCTCTGCGGTGGCCAGAGCATCAGAAATTTGTTTGGGGAAGGATTCCTTGTATTGTGTGGGCAGGATACTGTCAGATTGTCCAGGCCTAGACAGGAGAACGATTAGGGTTCTCAACCAAAGCCTTTGGTTCAAAAACCTGACCGCAAGGCAGCGGGTTTGGCACTGGACTACAAGGAGTCCGTTTTAAGGAATAAGGAGCCACCCTCATTCCAACCCCCAACCTGGAGGACCAGGAGGCTGAGTTTGTCTGGCCTCTAACCATTGACCAATCTGGTATGAGTGGCTCTGAAGGTGTAAAAGCACCACCCAGTATAGCTCAATGGATCACTGAGGCACACAAACCATCGCACCACGGTAAGGTCCAGCCTCATTGCGATGGATATTGTGCAAAGACAACCGTCTGTTTCTTTCGAGCACTAACTTCAGGCGTACGAAGAAGCGTTCCGCAAATTGACGTCCCCTTTCTTCAACACAACCGTGGTCTCAAATTGATCACACTGCAATTAGCTTCAGATGGCGCGGCAGCGTACTGGACTGCATGTACTTTTGGTCCTCCTTCGTTGACTCAGATCATGCTCTGGTCTGCGCGAAAAAAAATCTGCATGTGTTTTGGAGGATCCCGAAACACGAAGCACCACAAGATTGATGTAAACTGATTAACTGATTCCTCTGTCCAGGTGAGCTATCAGTCTTCACTGGCATATGCACTCAGTTGCAATCCACCGCAAGAAGTGGAACAACAATGGACGTGTATACGGAAGGCGATGACCATTTCCGGACAGTCATGCTGCGGCCTAACTCGACGCTCCTTGAAGGCTTGCATCTCTGCTCGTTCTCTGGAGCTGTTCGAACACCACAAAGATATCCCCGCGGAATCGGATTGCAACGAGCGGCGCCGTTCTGTCAATCGACCACTCAAGCAAAGCCTACGCAAGCATCGAGGGACATGGTGGTCTGAGCGTGCTTTAGAGATGGAGACCGCTGCCCTCTCTGGCAACACTCGAAGGCTTTTCCAACTTATTCGGTCCATTGGCCTCAGGAAGCCTGGTGTCAGTGAGGTCATTTGTGAGGTGGATGAGTCTCCGATCACCAACTAACAGAGGCGTATGGACCGCTGGGCCGAGCAGTTTCACTCGCAGTTCAACTGGCCTCCATCATTCATCAGTACACGCTGTACACCTTGTCGTCCCCCCTGGATCGTCCCACTGAATCCACTCAGCGAAGTGGAAGTCTGCCTCGACGCTTGAAGCGTTTCAAGGCTGCCGGCTTAGACGGACTTCCTCCGGAAGTATTCAAGTACGGCGGTGTGGCGACCATTAACCAGCTGACCGCGCTGTTAGCAAAAATATGGCATGAGGTGAAAGTGTCTTCCTCTTGGAACGAATCAGTTGTTGTCCCGATTTTCAAGAGTGCTCATACCTCATGTGCAAATCATCGCGGGATTAGTCTTATTCCGGTTGCCTCAAAGCTATTGGCATCTATTCTGCTTCGCAGACTATCCCCAGCACGTGAATCATACTACCTTGAAAAACAAGCTGGTTTCCGTCCTGGCCGCGGAATCAAACCTTCACGTTCCGTCAGCTCCTCGAACATCGCCACATTTATCACAGATCCACTATCATTGCATTCCTAGACACACGTGCCGCTTTTGACTCCGCTGATCGACCTGCTTTATGGCAATGCTTGCTAAAGGACGGGGTGCCAGACAAATATACTGCGTCCTTACGAGCACTTTAACTTCGGACCTCCAGCAAAGTGAGGGTCAAAGACAAGCTTTCCCCGCAATTCGTTGTTAACAGTGGTGTGCAGCAGGGCTGCTCTATGTACCCATTCCGCCTCAACTTCGCAATTGAAGATGCTCTGTCGAATGCTCTAGAAGGTTTCCAACATTTTGGCTTAGAGCTTCTACCGAGTGAGGGCGCGACCGACTTAGATTATGCTGATGATATAGTCTTACTTGGTGACGATCCTCAGGGTATGCAGCGCATTCTGGATCGTTTGGCGGTTGAAGCATCTAAGTATGACATGAGCTTCGCCCCATCGAAGTGTAAAGTACTGCTCAAAGATTGGCTTGCACCTGCTCCCGTGCTCACTCTCGAAGGTGCACAACTTGAACAGGTAGATAGTTTCGTCTACCTCGGAAGCTGTGTTTCTGCTGACGACACTATCAACGAAGAAGTTTCTCATCGTATCGCTAAAGGCGATCATCATTTGTCAATCTGAGGCACTTGTGGCGTCGTCGCGACGTCTCATTCTCACGAAAGGGCCGCGTTTACAGCGCATCAATTCGCTCAGTACTGTTGTATGAGTGCGAGTCCTGGTCGATTCGCGTGGAAGACATGCGTCTTCTTTCTGTCTTCGATAACGGTTGCTTAAGGAGGATCGCTCGTGTTTGGTGGCAACATCGTGTTAATAGTAATGACGTTCGACGTCACATCTTGGGGAATGCGAGTATTCCCTTCAACAAACTGGTTTTGTTGCACCAGTTAAGATGGCTCGGTCACGTCCTACGCATAACACCTGAGCGTCTACCGCTTCGCGCTCTATGCGCTCGTCAAGAACCTGTCTGGAGGCGACCGCGTGGTGGTCAGCCTTCCACTTGGCGGCAGCACATGAAATCGCTGACGTCGTGTCTAACCGCTGTTGGATCCGTACGTCTTCCAGGATGGGGACCCAAAGATGATGAATGCTAATGGCTTAGCACGCTTGAAGACATGGTCCGCAACCGGAATCAGTGGAAGAGTTGTGTACAGTATCGTATTGATTCACATGTTTAATACTACAAACATTGAAAATGACAAAAAAAGCAAAATCGGCGTGTGAAAAACAAACTAAGAAGGTTTTGTTCTACTTTTTGTCAAAATGTTCCATTCTTCCTGCGGCATATTAGCTGAAGTGTGTTGCTCACCTTCAAATAGCATGCCACAATGATTATGACGCGATGACTTGCTTATCCGCTGATCTCCATGGTTTTATGTTGGCTCTGTGTCTAGTTGATAGACTTGAGATTACTACTACTACATTTTAGGGAACTCCATACACGCAGTCTCCGTCTAACAGCCGGCAGTGTGAAGAGCTAATGAGTGGACGACACAAAGCAACCTGATGAGTGACAACAGGGATTTCATCACCGCAGACAAGATATTGTGTATGAGGACTAGAAGGCCCTATTCGAGGAACAGAATAAAATAATGTCAGCTGTACGCCGTAACGCTGTTCGAAGAACAGAACACTTGGCACGATTTATGAGCATTAACCACAAGGCAGGCCGTTTGCAGAGCCTATCCAAGGTAATCTGAAGTGCCTCAGAAACCCCAGCTATATCCACAACACCAGAGCTAAAGGTCGTCAGCAAACGTTAGCAACGGTACTCTTTGCGCCCCCGGTAAGTTATTTGCATAGATCGAGAACAATGACCTCAATAACGGGACCTGCGGGACGCCAGTAAAAACATCTTACCAAAGCGGAAGGCTACGCCACACGCGTACACTGTTCCCTCCCTTCAGGAATGCGGACCCGTTTTAAGGCACGACCAAATATCTCATAAGACCTCCACTTTAATGAGTCTAAGATGAATATCAGTGTCAAGCTTACCAAAGGTCTACGAATAGCACGTCTATAGCGGGGCCACCGTTCACCGCTTCGGCCCAACTTACACGTGCAACAAGTAGATTAGTCTGACACCAAAATCCCTTACAGAATCCGTGTTGCGTGGCACTGACGGTTAAGTTTGTGCAGATGGTTCTCCACCAAATCCCTTGTAAAGCATCTGCAGTACGCCGCTATGCAGTACCAACGCTGCGCTGCCGCGCAACCACACCGGTCGTACGTGGGCTAAGGATACTGCGAGGGTCGTCCTGCCGTACGCAGGCTCGAACTCGTGCCGTCTGATTACAATACAAGCTTTCTGCCTATAGGCTACGGGTCAGCTCGATACCGAACTTTTCAAAATTGACTCCGCTTGTCAAACTGAAAATCGGATAAACGGTTGCCTCTTTTCATTCCGAAGTTGACGCAGAAGTCAAGCGATTTTGTAAACGGGAATGTGAGAGGATCACTCGGTTCCGCGACCAACTCATGAAACAGCCTCGGGTGAATTGAGTCAGGGTCGAAAGCTCTAGAAGGGTTTGTCTTGCAATAGCTAGAAGATCTGTCTCCGTTATGTTAAACTCAGTTACGAGAGAATTTTCTGGAAGTCTTGAAATCAATTCAGTCTATGGTAAAGGGGTCTGCCGAGCAAGGACACTAGTATACTGTTCGCTAAGTCTACAATCTTTATCACAAGCGGTGTGTGACGGATAGTCTCAAAAACGAAGAAATACAGACGAAAGTAATAAGCGGCAGAACCTACCCTAGATTACGGGTGCTCCATACTAGCCCATAAGGGGTGCCAAGAAGAAAATGCATACCTTATTGTAGACGTTGAACCATTCAGGGTGATGATTCATTTCCTTGGCTTTCGCAGCGACATCTTGCATGAATTCAAAAGCAACGTCAAAGTTTTTAAAAACGAACGACTTCTTAATTGCATCGCCTGTACGATGTTCAGGAAAAGAGATCCAAGAATGTTCGTTCAACAAGGGACCAAGAAGTAGCTCCTTATCAGAGGACGACAAGGCATTCATCCTTGTTTTCTACAAAAGAAGAAAATAGTGCCCTAAAAATAACCGACACGTTACCAACCTTTGCAATTCCAAAGATGCGTACAGGAGGCGATTGAACAAAAAATTGAAGAGCAAGCAATCTCGAAAGCGGCGCCATCACATTAATCGTGGATGAAATGCTGGTTCTATACAGTTAAAGTGTGCAAATATACACAGTGCCAACTTTCCTATATAAAATTGGAAATAATTACCTTATTTAGTTAGCGGCTATTTTATACGGCAAATCAATCATGCCGTGCATAATGTGAAAGTGCGACTACTTGTGCACCATAAGATGTATCGGAACACTGTAACAGACGAATAAAACGGGAGTTAGATAACACATATGGTCTAAATAGTTAGGTCTGAGTTGTATTAAAATGCCAACAACTTTTAAAGGGACTGATGGCTCATGTTAGCCATACCTTCGTCGGACCTACGTGGCCATAACGGTAGTCCTCCGTCACTATAAACTAAGGTTCATCTTGCCTTAGAGCAAATCAGCAAGGAGACAACTATAAGTGCGAGCTAAAAGTTTATTGCCGAAACCTGCAGGCCCGCTAGTTACAAGCACAGCAAAAATTCAACACCAAATGGGACAGGAAAAGTAGGCCAATTCCCTGAATGTTCCAGTGTGGCAGCTTCGGAGAAATAGGGTAGGATAGATGAAGCGATTAAAGTGAGGCAAAGCAGTACGCGCGTAGCACCCACTGCTCAAACGACCAATGCCCACGTGTCCTCCACTAGTAGTCTCCACTGTGCCGATCAAGTGAAGTAGAAGTAAAGATAATAGACATGTAAAACAGGAAAAATACAAACCTATAGCTGAGGAAGAAAAGAAACGAGGAAACTTTATGAGAGCGCGGAAACTAGGCAACGTTAAACGTCCAGTATTGAAGTGAAAGAGTTGTAGCTGCGAACCTTGCACCAAGTAGACATTTGGGCTCTCTTACGTTATGCGCCAAAATCAAGTTTTCAGACAGAGCGTTCCAACCGTTGATCACGCTTCGTCGTAACCGCGTTTCAGCTCTAACCCGAGCGACAGCTAAGTTTGGCATTGTATTTGATACGAAAAATGAAACAAATCAAGGCCTACTTGAACCGGTAATATTCGATATATGGCGATCGAGCCCCACCAACGTTGTGTGGCAAACACGCCTGGAATAAGCAAGCGCACAGATTACTGCAACCGTCATAAAAGTGAACAATGTTCTTACCGGCCCGCTTCCCGTTCCTCTGCCATATTTCACAGTTTTAGCAAAAGGACCAGCTTGTACACAATATTCGGGACGCCATAGCATCTGGATGCGTGTAAGTCATTGACTTGCCCCGAATGTTCAGGTAAGCCGCAAACAAAAGCGATTGTGCCCCAGTAGTTTGTTACAATTGGTACAGCAATGGGCCGAAGACAGACCCTGTGGTGCACACCTGAGACCTGGTTGTCGGAAAGCTATGATCCAACCGACTAAGGCGCACATTTTTATCCTTTAGAAATGCCGTTATCCAGTGCAGGGCACGCCCGGAGAGGCCATACCACTGTCATTAAAACAGCGGAACTAATTATATGGCGGTGTCAGACGCTTTCGCAAAGTCCACAAACAGCACATCAGCCAAGGTACCCCGACCTACCGTCTCCGCTCAGCATTCGCGATCGCATAAGAAATCTGTAAGACGGGAGCAGCCTTTGAGGAAACCACGAGGAGGCGGGTTGCGAAGGCAGAAGAGCATTAAGGGTGTCAAAAAAAGCATTTTGTATCCGCTTCTTCCGTTTTCTGACCAGCACTCACGTTGAGCAGACTGGCTTGCAACTAACTAAATTTTTATTCCCGGATGCATGCCTAACTGCTTATTCCGTTCCTTGGAAATGGGACAAAAGATATCCGCTTTCCAAACAATGAGAAATGTACAGCTGAGAAGTGACTTTCTCTTAGGTCAGATCAAAGTCAAATGTGCACAGAAACGAAACAAATTGACTTGTTTGAGAAGGTAATTGAGCGATTCCCCAAGTAACCGTGTGCCTTATGTCAGAACCGTCTAAGTTACAATCAGACTAGAGTTTTCCTGTGTTGCAGAACATTTGTCACTACCGCTTGTTTCATTCCACTCATACGTCCCGTGCTTCTTTGAAATCGATAAATTCAAATGAGCACTCAGCCTTGATTTGAACTGTAATCAGATTGTTTTCATACCTACGTCGGCCCGTTCTGTTTTTCGCAAATAAACTTCACCTCCGGTGCGTTGTCTTTTGACGTGCGTGGCGCAAACTAAGAAGCTGCTAAGTCGAACCTTTTGGGACACAACAGATTATGGCGACAGAGGTGTTGCACAATGATGCAGCAGCTTTTCCATCAGCAGCAGCTCCAATTCCAGAAATCCCAGAGGTAATTGTTCCAGTTATTTGCGCAGATGTTGCGCCTTCATTCTGAGCCCCAACCTGCTGGCACACGATCTTCAGTAGACCCGGTCACGACAGCAATCACAGAGTTTCTTGTTCGATGCATCAAACAGAGTAACTTTCTGGTTCCAGAAATATGAAGATTTGTCCGCGTTGAGTTGGCAGCGCAAGATGATGCATAGAAAGTTCGATTGTTACTGCGTAAGATTGGTGCAGTTGAACATGAAAGCCATAGCAATTTTGTGTTGCCAAAGAATCCAAGAGATTTCCACTACGACGGGACTGTGAAAATTGTGACGTCCATTTTCGGTGAGAAAGCGTCTTTGTTCGGTATCCGTTATAATTGTTAAATGTTGCTCAAACGTGATAGCCATGATTTTATAACACATGCTGAAGTTGTGAAGCGAGAGTTTGAACGTTGTTAACCCGGTAAGATGACAACTGCTCCGTTCAAAAGTCTCATAGTTCTTTGCAGTCTTCAGTCTCATGCCGATGCTGATGTGCGCACACGCGTCCTACACAAGTTAGAGCAGCAACCCCATTTGACATTACAGGACGTTGCTGCTGAATGCCAGAGACCGATTAACTCAAAGTATGACACCAAAATGATTGAAAATGTTGACCCCAGGAGTGAACCACAGATCTACCGCATGGCTGTTCGATGTAACAATGTGAGCCCTAGAGTACCCAACCCGAAACTCCCAACCGCACGCTGGAACTGTGGTGGATGGCATTTTGTGCGATTCTGTACTTACAAGAAACAGCTTTCAGAAATGCAAACGTCTGGGTCACAAAGAACCTCACTGTCGCAAAAGTACGTTTCCAGGCCTCTGGCTACCCCACACTTATACGCGAACCGTAAATCCCGAACGTCGCCGTTTCCGGGAGCAAAGACAAACGTAGTTCTCGCGACCTGTCGGACAGCATTTGCGGGCAAAAGGAAGTACCTCACCGTCAAACTTAACGATGTTCCCATAGCCTTGAAAATAGGTACGGCATCGGACATCACCATCGTTTCTCGATTACCAAGGACGAGACTCGGCAAACCTCCGCTGAGGCGCACGAATCAGACTGCCCAAACTGCACTTGGCGAACCACTGAGGTTAGATGGTGAGTACACATGTGACCTTAACTTCAAAGATCTGAGCCTCAGTGGAATCACTTCTTAGCTTCTTGTGTTAACCTTAATCTTCTTGGCATTGATTGGATTGATAGACTGAATTTGTTCAATGCACCACTGAATAAAATGTGCGCTGTAACGAACGTCAGGGTGCATCATACAGCCATAACACCTATTCCAAGTAAAACCATCGCTGAACAGTTGCAGGCGAACACGATGCAGGAAAAGCTTACTCTGTTACCTTATGTTACACCAGTGTTTCGATCCAGGCGCCCGGTCCCCTATGCATCAACTCGGACGAATTCGGACATGGAAGCCCATTACAACAAACGGTACGCGGCACGGCGCAGCAATTTCAGAGTTGGAAACGCAGTGTTTGCTGCCTCTCATGGAGGGCATCGAATAAGTTGGATACCAGGTCAAGTCGTGGGACGACGTGGCAAAGTAATGTGCAATGTTCGCGTTAGTAGACAAGCACAGGGTCGTCACGCCAACCAACTGCGATCGCGGTTTGGAAGGATCCCAGAGACACGCGACGCCGAACGATTATAGTTCAATGAACTGTTATGCAATTTTCACCCAGGCACCTCGAACGGCAGGATACCTAACTCGCGGACCGTACTGGAAATGAACGCTGACTAAGGCCACAACGGGCAAGAAGATGCACATGACGCTTTCAGGTCGATCCCCGAAGGAAAAGCTAAACAACTACAGGTCTCACATTTCAACAAGTGGGAGGTGTTAGATCAGACCAACGTCAACTGTGCACAGAAACGAAACAAAGTGCCTTGTTCAGGAAGGTAAGTGCGCAGTTTTCCCAGGTAACCGTGTGCCTTATGTTAGAACAGTCTCAGTTACAATCAGACTAGAGTTTTCCTGTGTTGCAGAACATTTGTCGCTACCGCTTGTTTCATACCACTCATACGTCTCGTGCTTCTTTGAGATCGATAAATTCAAATGAGCACTCAGCCTTGATGTGAACTGTAAACAGAGTGTTTTCATACCCACGTCGGCCCGTTCTGTTTTTCGCAAATAAACTTTTCCTCCGTTGCGTTGTATTTTGACGTGCGTGGCGCAAACTAAGAAGCTGCCAAGTCGAACTCTTGGGGTCACAACACTTTCAAAGAGTCGCGCGATTGGTAAACCAACTTAGCTGCCAATTCGTACAATTTGTGTGAGGAGTAACTACCCAGCCGCGTTGGTGGGATTCAGTTGCTGTAAGCTCCGAAATAAGTTTTCTTTCTGCAGATAACCTGCTGGAACTCTCATGACTAAATCTTTAAGTTGTGGTGTAGATGCGTTAATAAAGCTTTTACCTACTGATCCGATAACCCACAGGCAGTACCTTGATCTGTTTGCGCAGCAGTGTCAGCAGTACTAAACAAAACGGGAGGGAGGGAAGTGGAGTTATGCCGCCTTGTAACATAAGTAAAAGATCGCTCTGGGTTGGTTGAGGCCGAGTTGGCTAATTCCACTGCATGGCTTGGTAGGAATGCACGCAGCTGCGGAATGCAGACATTCCGTGGATCACGCTAGCGCCAGAAGATATTAACAGAAGAAACTAACAAATAATTTCGCCAGCACCTTGATCGTGTCATTTTGGCATGCCTCTTTTACCACCGAGACTT